TTGAAGAAGTGGCCGAAGGTCAAAGACTGCAGACTGCTTGGCAAGGTAACACCTTCCAAGCTTTGGTTGAAGAAGTGTCCGAAGGTCAAAGACTGCAGACTGCCTGGCAAGGTGACACCTTCCAAGCTCTGGTTGAACGAATAGCCGAACGTCAAAGTATGCAGGCTGCTTGGAAACGTGACCCCTTCCAAGCTCTCGTTAAATTCCCGGCCGAAGGTCAAAGACTGCAGACTGCTGGGCAAGGTGACACCTTCCAAGCTCTGGTTGAACGAATAGCTGAAGGTAAAAACACGCAGGCTGCTTGGCAAGGTGACACCTTCTAAGCTCTTGACACAGAAATTCTTGAAACACAAAGTCTGCAGACTGCTTGGCAAGGTGACACCTTCCAAGCTCTGGTTGAAGACGTAGCCGAAGGTCAAAGTCTGCAGGCTGCTTGGCAAAGTGACACCTTCCAGGCTCTGGTTGAAGCAAAAGCCGAAAGTCAAAGTCTGCAAGCTGCTTGGCAAGATGACACCTTCCAAGCTCTGGTTAAAGTTCTCGCCAAAGATTAAAGTCTGCAAGCTGCTTGGCAAGGTGACACCTTTGAAGCTCTGGTTAAAGTCCCTGCCGAAGGTCAAAGTCTGCAAGCTGCTTGGCAAGGTGACACCTTCCAAGCTCCGGTTAAATTTGTCGCCGAAGGTCAAAGTCTCCAAGCCGCTTGGCAAGGTGACACCTTCAAAGCTCTGGTTAAAGTCCCTGCCGAAGGTCAAAGTCTGCAGGCTGCTTGGCAAGGTGACACCTTCCAGGCTCTGGTTAAAAAAGTAGCCGAAGGTCAAAGTCTGCAGGCTGCTTGGCAAGGTGACACCTTCCAAGCTCTGGTTGAAAAAGTCGCCGAAGGTCAAAGTGTGCAGGCTGCTTGGCAACGTCAGACTTTCCAAGCTCTTTTTGAAACAGTGGAAGGTCAAAGTCTGAAGGCTGCTTGGAAACGTGACCCCTTCAAAGCCCTTGTTAAAGTCCCTGCCGAAGGTCAAAGTCTGCAGGCTGCTTGGCAAGGTGACACCTTCCAAGCTCTGGTTAAAGTTCTGGCCGAAGGTCAAAGTCTGCAAGCTGCTTGGCAAGGTGACACCTTTCAAGCCCTTGTTAAAGTTGGGACCAAAGGTCAAAGAGGCGATTGCATCCGTCACTGTCCCATGCGCATGGTCTCTTGTTCCCTCTGCAAGGGCACTTTGGAACCCAATCGCTGCCTCCAGTGCGCAAACCTGTCGAACGACATATGAGATCTCTCGTCCGCACCCTTCTTGCTGCAAAAGCTTGGATGAGACCTCCAAAATCTGGTCGCCTGCAAAAAGAACAAGTTTTCCACCAACTCTCATGCAGATTCTTTCTGCGATGGTCTTGGAGAGGTCATCCACCTAGAGCTCGCATGCTTGAACTCTGTGAAAATCAAGATTCAAATCTAGTCAAGTCTGCTGAAAGAATTTGAGGTATGGTTGTTGCTACCTTGATCCCAGGTACTTGTTTTGATCTAGTAGGGTTGGAGAAGTGTGGCAAAAATTGAAACCATTGAATCCATCGGTTTTTTTGTAGACTGGCTCCACTCCATTTTATATTTGATTATCTGGTGAGCCTGGCCTTTTTTAAATACCTATTTTTAGGAAATACGTCGGGTTCTATGTTGGTCGTGTGTGGGGGGGTGAGAAATATCTGGGACACTTGAGCACAGGAAGACCTGGTGATCAGGTAGAATCTACATCCGGAAAACAATTGTCGGGTGGATGGACATCCTTCAGCTTCTGTGACCGCCATCGAAGCCACCTTCGCTGTCTCATCCACGGGGAGCTGAAAGCTTGTGCCATCCAGGCCGCTGATGGTCCAAGGCTGCGAATTCCTCGCCTCCATCACCAGCCTCATGGTCCGCACGCGTGGGAACAACCGAGTCGCCGGAGAAGGGAGTCTACAGTGGGGTGGGCGAAAAAAGGAAGCAATCGGTGGACAAAAGGCATTGTATTCCGCTCGTATACTTCTCTGACAGCCCGGAAGGGAGTCTACAGTGGGGTGGGGCAAAACTGCAGGGTTCCGATCCATTTGTATCGACCTTCCAGCCCACTCTGCTCCGGAAACACTGAGCAGTTCCGACCGTTGAGCGACAGTGTCGGAAAGAAAGGCCACAACGAAACCACGATCCGTTCACGAATTCCAGTATCCTCTCACAGGATTCTGCAGTGACCCCGCATCCCTTGCTGGTTCCTTTTTCTCCAGAAACCAGCAAACAAAATTAAGCTATTACTTCCGCTTCCTATCAAATACCAGAACCAAACTATCTACCTTGTTGTAAGCTTTTCTTAGTGGATCCAGCCGGTCCAGTTGTCAAGTACGGCAAGCTCTCTTGGTGAGCACCAGAGTGCTAGCTGAATCTCACCTTAAGGAAGTATGTCACAGACATCAAGCATCTTCGTTGAAGAAACTACGAAAGCAAACACAAACCAAAACCCAAAGGCCACCAGGGCAGAAGGGCCTAATGGTAAGCGTCCATGCATCCATTATTCCATTACCGAGAATTCAAAAGGTCAACCTGTGTCTAAATTGTCAATCCTGATGGACAGTGGTGAACCTATGACGCACCTTCCTTCAAACAAGTTCTGTTCTCCTCCCTATTGCTCACCATACAACTCCACCACCACCAACACCCTGCACCCCCTAAAACAACCCTCCAAGCTGCTCCTTCGCCCTGCGCAGCAGCCGCTCCGCGCGCTCCAGGTCCTCTGCGATGAACGTCCGCAGCACGGCTTCGCAGGCGGCATCGTCAGGCAGCGCAGCACTGGTGGAGGCGCCCATGTGTGTGTTAATACAAAGGCAAATGGAACTGAGAGGGTGCACTGTTGACTCACAATCCATCAGCTGATTGAAGTGTGGTTATCTTGGGGAAGGAGTTGTGGGAGTAGATCGAGAGTCAATGCTTTTCTTCCGGAAGAGTTTTGAATTAGCTCATATACATACACCAGTTATGTCTTCATTCACCTTCCATCAAAACGCACGGATGACTCACACGGATGACTCGCAAAATCTGTTGTCTTTTGAACATGTGCTGATGTTTGGGACACATCCAAGTCATAGCTCTTAAGGTGCTTCGCCCAACCATTTCGCACGCAGCGGGGGCGGACGGTGCATTTTCTTGGACCTGGTGGACTTAGGCCGTAGCTGCTGGGTTTTCTGTTACCTTCCTTTTCCTGGGAGTCGGTTTTGAAAGAACTCGATGTCAAACAACATCTGCGAACCCCGGCTAGCTCATTCACCTTTTGAGATCCTTGGAACATCTTGGAACATCATCTCTGCAAGCCATTCAGGGCGTCAGAAAACAAGTTATTAAAAAAACGGATGAAACATCGATCTCCAAAATGAGACGACAATCCCTTCAACGCACAATTGCTGGGCTCCTCTGCTTTGGCTCGGAGCCTTTCCTCCTCCATCTCCGGCCTGGCGATCAAGCTGCAACGAGTGCACAGCATTGCACAGCTCTGCAAAAAGGGAGGTTGTTCCTGCGATTCCGGGTGCCATGGTCCAACGTGCCCGTCCCTGACCCATTTTTTTGGGCAATTCTTCAACGGGTGTGGGCGAGCACAGCGCCCAAGATGGGGAAATCCATGGTACTTACGGTGTCTTGGGTGATTCTTTCCGGTGGCACAGGATTGCTTGCATAAAAAGAAATATATATACTGCAAAAACATACTTACACTAACCCTGGCTAGTTCTGGTAGATGCTACTGGACTGCTGCACACGTTTGGGAAAGCTGTGCGAGAAATGTCACAACTGGAAATCAAGTGAATCAACGCCTCCCTCATTGATCAACACCATATCGGACCCCCCCTTGAAGACCCCTTAACAAACCGAAACTGCAATGAAACACCGGGTTCTGGTAGAGGGCTTATTGTCAGGGGGG